TTCAGTCAGAAGGTCGAAAATAACGTCACAGTGTGTGTGTGTTTATCTACGCCGTGAAAGGAGCTATACATATAATACTTTCATCACGAGATAACAAGCACCTGGTGACGTCACTGTACTATCAAGAGGTTCTTGTTGTTATCTTGAGTTTTGAGCAAATTGAGAAAACAAATTTCTTTACTTGGACAGTTTTCGACCCGCATGACTATCTTTACTGTTAAGAGCCGGATATTTCCTAAGAGCTGGCGTCCCTGTCTCTAGAGTGCTCCTGTCTCTAAGAGGTGGAGTCCCTCTCTCTTCTTAAGAGTGCCGTCCCTGTCTCTTGGCTGGTCCCTGTCTTAAGAGCTGGCGTCCCTTGTCTTCTAAGAGCTGCCGTCCTGTCTCTCTTAAGAGGTGCGTCCCTGTCTCTCTAGAGCTGGCGTCCCTGTCTCTCTTTAGAGGTGGCGTCCCTGTCTCTTAAGAGCTGTCCCTGTCTCTTAAGAGCTGTCTGTCTCTTAAGAGCTGGCGTCCCTTGTCTCTCTTAAGAGGTGGCGTCTCTCTCTTAAGAGCTGGCGTCCCTGTCTCTCTCTTAAGAGCTGGCGTCCCTGTCTCTCTAAGAGCTGGCGTCCCTGTCTCTTAAGAGGTGGCGTCCCTGTCTCTTAAGAGCTGCCGTCCCTGTCTCTTTAAGAGGTGGCGTCCCTGTCTCTCAAGAGCTGCCGTCCCTGTCTCTTAAGAGCTGGTGTCCCTGTCTCTTAAGAGCTGGCGTCCCTGTCTCTTAAGAGCTGGAGTCCTGTTTTGGTGGTGGTCTCTTAAGAGGTGTGTCCCTGTCTCTCTTAAGAGCTGGCGTCCCTGTCTCTCTCTTAAGAGGTGGCGTCCCTGTCTCTCTTAAGAGGTGGCGTCCTGTCTCTTAAGAGCTGTTGTCCCTGTCTCTCTTAAGAGGTGGATGTCCCTGTCTCTTAAGAGCTGCTGTCCCTGTCTCTTAAGAGGTGGCGTCCCTGTCTCTCTTAGATGGCGTCCCTGTCTCTTAAGAGGTGGCGTCCCTGTCTCTCTGTCCTGTCTCTCTAAGAGGTGGCGTCCCTGTCTCTTAGAGGTGTCCCTGTTCTCTTAGAGGTGGGTGTCTCCTCTTAAGAGCTGGGTCCTGTCTCTCTGAAGAGCTGGCGTCCCTGTCTCAAGAGGTGGCGTCCCTGTTCTCTTAAGAGCTGCCGTCCCTGTCTCTTCTTAAGAGGTGGCGTCCCTGTCTCTCTTAAGAGCTGCTGTCCCTGTCTCTTAGAGGTGGCGTCCCTGTCTTTAAGAGCTGCGTCCCTGTCTCTCTTAAGAGCTGGCGTCCCTGTCTCTTAAGAGCTGGCGTCCCTGTCTCTCTTAAGAGTTGCCGTCCCTGTCTCTCTCAAGAGTTGGCATCTACTTATTATCTCTCTCTCTTTCAAAAGACAGTGTACAGTATGTCTCTCTCTCTCTCTCTCGCTTTCAAAAGACAGTGCCTCTCTCTCTCAACAGACGTCATTTGTTAATTCAATATATTGACTATTAATACATACAGTATTTCTGTCTGTTGTCACTCTGTGTTAGTGTTCGTGTTTGTACGTGACACTCTATCCTTGTGTGTCCTTATTTATAGACTATAATCATTGTTTGTATGCTACACAGCCCTTACTTATGACACTGTCCGTGTTCTAGATCGGCCCCTGTGAGGGTTTGGGATACTGATAGTGTAGCATAAGCATGATTGATGCTAGACAGGTCACATGGCAGAGATATACACAACACGGGGTCCAGCGGCCGCCATATTGATAACGCCATGGACAGGTAAACACACCTCTATCCTCCCTTTCCCTACCAAACCTCTATCCTCCTTCCCTACCATGATATCAAAGACTAACCGACTGATTGGGATATCTAACAGCAAATATCTCTAGATTATGACTTATATTTCCTATTAAGGAGATAACAGGGCCTGGTTCAGGTCAGGTGGCTTTTCTAATTAGATTTTGTACACCTGATAAGGCGGCAAGAGATTACGAAGACGAGAGAAAGTTTATTCAACTCAGAATGAATGAAAAGATTACTAATATAGTTGTGAATGTTATAACTTTAGTCTTTTGTATAAACTAAGACGTAATGAGCGGTGCTTAATGACCCTGGTAGTTAAAACCACATAAACATAAAAAAGACCCTAGGATAGTTTTACATAATATAAATAAGGTTTTACTAGGTTTATATTCACTATGTAAAATGAATGACAAGGTCATATTGTTCGTGGATCTTTCCCAACACTGAACATTTTGCGTGTTACCAGTTACCAGGGGAGGTCCAAAGTTCTCACCCTGCGGTATCACTCACAAAATGATCACCTGAATATTCTCCTCCTGTCCCTCACACACCTTACTTCACCTAAAGATTTAATCCTTCTAACGTTTCCTAGGTGACCTGTTAGTTTAAATTAGAATAGGTTATGTTAGGGTAAGTTAGATTAGGCTATATTACTGCAGGTTAAGTTAGATTTGGTTTTGTTAGATTAGATTAGTTTAAATTAGGTTAGGTTGGTGTTAGGTTAACATTAGAGTGGTTAGGTAAGGATAGGTTAGGTTAATATTAGGTGAATAAGGTGGTTAGGTTAGGTTAGGTTAATATTAGGGTGGAATAAGGTAGGGGCGAATCTACAGGTAAATCCCTTCCCCCAATATTTATCTTCCGTTCTAATAATATAACCGAACATCTTAACCCACCACCACCTTCCTTCCTACGACTATTGGTATTAAGAAAGTCTTCACTAACATCTAACTCTAACAGTAATTAAATAGTAGAAATATCTCCAATAATCACCGAACAAAGAGAAGATTAAGATGTGGTGGCGGTATACTTAGTGATTTACCTCTTATGCAAGATATCTGAGTGACCAAATTTCAGAAAACTGCTAATGTTGACACTGATAAAGGTATTAGGCAGAGGAACTGATACTACTACTACTACTATTTTTTTTTTCGTGGCCTCCAGCCTCCCCCAATAGCCACACCTTCGCCACCATTTAATTACCTTAATATTAAATATCCTAATACATAAGAAGCTATCCTATCTGTAATTAATTGAGCCTCAGATCTATGCGGCATTCAGTGACAGCCCTCATAGTCAATATCTGCAGCAGTTGTCGGAGTAGGGCAGAAGCCTCGCCCCTAAGGCAGAGCAAAGCCGACCGAAGGAGAGAGAAGGACAGTCGACATCTCATCCGCTGTAACTAAACTTGGGTTGCTGCTTCTGTTCGGAGATCAACTCCGCGAGTCTGGCGTAGAAACATCTTGCACTACTACTACTAATACTACTACTTATTACTACTACTACTACTACTACTACTAATAATAATAATAATTTTGTCAGGTGATTCAAACTCTAATATTAAAAGGTCAAGTTAATATTTTTCGTCTTTAATTACCTGGCGATATATGACTTACTGTATCACACTGAGCGCCAACAGATTAGGTGATAGTTGAAGGAATTTGGGCGACCTGGCCACCTTTTATGGGATTGTTTTTATAAATGTCTAGGAATAAATGGATTTTCTCTCTCTCTCTCTCTCTCTTCTTCTCTCGCTCGTCTGTCTGTTTCAACACATCAAACTTAGAGAGAAAGAAAGATATATAAACAAACAGACAGACGCACACACACACACACACACACACACACACAAAATACTGTATTTCTTCCCCAGTAACTGATAGCGGACAATATTACCGACAGTCAATGATAACATAAGTTGAAGGATATTGTCAGCGAAGACATCATGAAGTATAACTGAATATTCGTCTATCATCAGTAGATAACAATGGTGGTCAGTGATCGTACTCAAGGTGTTAAGCTATCGTACCATCCAGTCACCTACACAGTACGCAATGAATCTTGGTGTTTGTATACCTGCACTGTATCTATCTATCTATCTATCTATCTATCTATCTATCTATCTATCTATCTATCTATCTATCTATCTATCTATCTATCTATTTATCTATCTATCTATCTATCTATCTATTTATCTATCTATCTATCTATCTATCTATCTATCTATCTGACCAGGATGTAGGATACGACTGATATTGGCCAAGGTTGAAGTGGGTTGTGTGAGGTGAACAAGACATGAATGGTTCTTGTAGGGTGTTGTTGTCTTGTTCCGTGTGGTTGAGGAGCGATAACGAGCCTTGTTGAGTCGTCGTGAACATGACTCTCACATGAAGGTAAGCATCACTGTCTGTTGTAATGATAAACATGTTGATGATAATGGTGGTCTCGTTCCCTGAGTTAAGACAACGTATATAGAAAGACAGGTGACATCTCAACCAGGCTGCAACGTAGCTTCGGGGCTGCTGCTTCTATTATTCTGCTAATACCTCGGCCAGTCTGGCTTAGAGGCTACTACTGCTACTACTACTACTATTACTACTACTACTACTACTACTACTACTACTACTACGTGGCCTCCAGCCTCCCCCAATAGCCACACCATCGTCCATTTTATTAACTTAAAATTAAATATTCTAATCCATAAGTAGCTATCCTAGCTGTGTTAAGTTAATTGAGCTGCAGATCTATACGGCTACTACTACTACTGCAAATAATAATAATAATAATAATAATAATAATAATAATAATAATAATAATAATAATAATAATAATAATAATAATAATAATAATAATAATAATAATAATAATAATAATAATAATAATAATAATAATAATAATAATAATAATAATAATAATAATAATAATAATAATAATAATAATAATAATAATAATAATAATAATAATAATAATAATAATAATAATAATAATAATAATAATAATAATAATAATAATAATAATAATAATAATAATAATACCCTATAGGTCCACAGTTAACACAAATTTTCTTCATTAATGAGTAAAAATTAATATTTTTTTGTTCCTATCTTTTTTCAGGAGATAAAGATACGGGTTATCACAGAAGGAAACCACCACCACCACCACCTACCACCAACTGCCAACACCTACACCCGTGCGATAACAGATGGTGTTAGTGTCCGTACGCTGTTAGTGTTGTGAAGATCAGACAAGGAACAGGTCACGTATTCTCTCCTCTCACTGTCATACCAAGGGCCTTGACATCCCACTTGAGAAACGATTACCCAGTCTGTCACAATGGCATTGATCCCGTGAAGGAAAAATCATGTTAATTGTGCTTGTATTTTAGTGTTTATAAGTCTGGTAACCCCTTCAACCCTTAGTAAGCAAACAAGATATGTTTTTTTTTTATATAACATATTTGAAAATAGAAGAGGATTCAATTGAAGTTAAACTAACGTAAGGAATATTTCTTTGTAAATAGAAAAAAAGAAGAAGAAGAAAGAAAGAAAGACAGAGAAGACTAAAGAAGTGAAATAGTTTACCTTTGACCAAGACAAAGGGGCGAAACATATATCACAGCAAAAGATGGAATTCATTCTACCATCGTCCTTACCTGATATAATAACTCACCCCGATTACTACCTCACCCAAACCATTTCTTCCTCCTCCTCCTCTTCATCCCCCTCCTCCTCTTCCTCTTCCTCCTCACCATCAGCAACGTCATCCTCCTCTTCTTCAGCATCTGACTGCAGCGAAGTACCTAAGGAATGGGCGGTGAACTTAGGGATGGTGGTGTCCTTTTGTGTGATGATCATCGGGTCGTTAACCTCCTTACTTTATGTACTCTGGCTCACCAATTCCGTATACCAAGAAGAGTCAGGTGAGTGTTGGTGATAGTGTTGGAGAGTCATGTGAAGTGTTGGTGATGATGATGGCGTGTGTGTGTGTGTGTGTGTGTGTGTGTGTGTGTGTTTAAATTCCTCATTCTTCTTCTTCTTCTTCTTCTTTGGTTTCCTTTACCTCTTCCTCTCCTCTTCCTCTTTCACCTTCCTCTTCTTAATCTTCTTTGTCATCCTCCTCCTCCTTCACCTTCTCTTCCTCTTCCTTCTGATGGGCCCAAGTTTTGATAGGATCTAGTTCTGATGGGATCTTCTGTACTTCTGATGGGCCTCAGTTTTGATAGGTTCTAGTTCTGATGGGCCCAAGTTTTGATAGGATCTAGTTCTGATGGGATCTTCTGTACTTCTGATGGGCCTCAGTTTTGATGGGATGTAGTTCTGATGGGCCTTAGTTTTTATAGGATTCAGTTCTGATGGAATCTTCTGTACTTCTGGTGGGCCCCTGTTTTGATAGGATGTAGTTCTGATGGGATCTACTCTTGTTCTGATGGCCCAGTTTTGATATGATCTAGTTCTAATGGGATCTACTGTTGTTCTGATGGGCCTCAGTTTTGAGAGGATGTAGTTCTGATGGGCCCCAGTTCTGATGGGCCTCAGTTTTGATGACATAAGTGTGTTTCAGGTACATAAAATAATATAACAGGTGTGTTTCAATGCAGGTGTGTTATTTCAGGTACATCAAAGACATGACACCCGACACTGTACTGATTATCAACTTGGCGCTCGCTGACTTGTTCTACTCATCCATCAGTCTACCGTTCATGTTCACTACCTACTATCGTCTCTACAATAACAAGATGAACAACACTGAAGAGGTGAGGAGAGAGAGAGAGAGAGAGAGAGAGAGAGAGAGAGAGAGAGAGAGAGAGAGAGAGAGTAGTAGATGATAGTTTACAACCTGCTTTAACCATTTCAGTGTCCTTGGGTGGAGGGTGATTCGGCCTGTCAGCTATCGGCCTTCTTACGGTACACCAACGCTATCGTTGAATGGACCACCCTGGGCCTGATGGCTCTGGAGAGGTATAGTACAAGTTGTGTTTCATACTTTACCTGTTCTTGTCCTAAAGTTTCAACTGTTTCAATATTCACTTGTTCTTTAAGCAGGTGTTTCAGTTATCACTTATGCTAATCATCAAGTTTCAGTTGTTTATGTTTACCTGTTGTTGGTGTGGTTCAGGTGCGTCACGATATACAACTATCGGCACAGTAGAGCACCTAGCTCCTGGTTCACATCCCGTAAGACTGCCGCCTACTGCTGTATCATCTGGCTGCTGGGGATGACTTGTCAGCTTCCTACACTAACTGGGGTATGTGAGTTTTAATGGCTAGCTGCATGTCTCTCTCTCTCTCTCTCCCTCTCTCTCTCTCTCTCTGGCTTCTTCGGATAGATTACAGCTGATGGGTTTTGCAAGTGATTGTGCTGCACTTATGATAATAATAACTATAACAATAATAGTAACACTAACAGCAATGACAATAATCATATCTTCACAGAATTTCGGAACCTTTGGTTACAACCCAGACTACGTGAAATGTGACTTCATCTGCAGCGGGATCCATAGCAAGTGGCTTTCCCCCCGAGTCATGTTCTTCGCCCTAGAGAGTATGGTGCCCTGTATACTGATTCTTATTGGTTACATCATCATCCTTATGCAGGTGTACAGCAGTAGCAATCATATCCTCTCTCTTCTCAGGTGAGTTGGTCGGGTCCTTAGGGTGGGATGGTCAGGTCCTTAGGGTGGAGTGGCCAGGTCCTGAGGGTGGGGTGGTCAGGTCCTGAGGATGGGGTGGACAGATCCTGAGGTGGGGGGTGACAGGTCCTTAGGGTGGGGTGGTCAGGTCCTTAGGGTGGGATGGTCAGGTCCTGGAGGGTGGGGTGGCCAGGTCCTTAGGGTGGGATGGTCAGGGTCCTTAGGGGTGGGGGTGGTCAGGTCCTTAGGGGTGGGATGGTCAGGGTCCTGAGGGTGGGGGTGGTCAGGCTCTTAGGGTGGGCGGTCAGGTCCTTAGGGGTGGGGTGGTCAGGTCCCAGGGTGGGATGCAATGTGGGTCCTTAGGTGGCGGGCAGGGTCCTGAGGTGGTCAGGTCCTTAGGGGTGGGATGGTCAGGTCCTTAGGGTGGGGTAATGTCCCAGGGGTGGGATGGTCAGGTCCTGAGGGTGGGGTGGTTGTGTCCTTAGGGTGGAGGCCAGGTCCTTCGGGTAGGGTGTGGCCAGGTCCTGAGGGTGGGGTGGGTCAGTCCTGAGGGTGGGGTGGCCAGGTCCTGAGGGTGGGGGTGGACAGGTCCTTAGGGTGGGGTGGGACAGATCCTGAGGGTGGGGTGACAGGTCCCCAGGGGTGGAGTGGCCAGGTCCTGGTGGGATGGTCAGGTCCTGGAAGGTGGGGTGGTCAGGTCCTGAGGGTGGGGGGTGACAGATCCTGGAGGGTGGGGTGGACAGGTCCTTAGGGTGGAGTGGCCAGGTCCTTAGGGTGGGATGGTCAGGTCCTGAGGGTGGGGTGGTCAGGTCCTGAGGGTGGGGTGGCCAGGTCCTTCGGGTGGGATGGACAGGTACGGGTCCAATACTAATATGTGGTTGTTATTCTCTGCAGGTCTCGGTCGACTCAACGAACAATAGCTCTTCGCCGTAGTCGCACCACCCGGGTGATCGTGGAGCTGCTGATGGTGTACCTGGTGTGTGTCATCCCCATCTGCGTGTACAACATCTCCCTGGGTAACAAGGTCAACAAACACAAGGAGGTGGGCATTGTCCTCTACTGCATCTATTGGCTCCAGTATTGTATCAATAACTTCATCTACGTGGTAAGCAATGAGAAGTATCGCAGTGCCTACTGTCAGTTCCTCTCGTTCTTGTTATGTCGAGAGATTCCCCGACAACTTCCGCCTTGTTTGAAAACTGAACCGACCAGCGTGCAGATTTACGCCATCTCCGGCAGCCAGAATCTTCAAACCTTGAGGGAGTCGCGGTTTAAAACGCCTTCAGAGTGTGAGGAGGAGAGACTTCAAGAGATCCAGAGTGACTACGTCAGCCAAAACAATTCTCCCTCCAGCACCGTCTCGTCGTTCACCAGGCCGGGTTATCTGAAGGAGCTGAGCAAAATTTCCCTGCAGGAACATAAAGGGAAACCACCTCCACTGACCAGGACGTGTTCCATAAGCCTGTCTTCGTCATCCAGCACAGAGGTTCTGGTAAGGAAAAGCAGTCAGGAGAGCTCACCTAACAAGGACCATCGAGATGCTAAGAACAAGCTCAGGAGAACCTTTTCCTGGTAGAGGCGCCGTGTGACCCCGAGCCCTTGTATACCTCACTTAATACCCAGGTGTAACTCCATTTGTCGACCATTTACTCACATTACTCACAATTTCCTCATAGCTACTTACCATTACTCACTTTCTCCTCATGTCCTCCCCTTCAGTTTAACTCTTAAGTCACTCATCTGGTCCTTCACTCACCCATACACGTTTTGTTTTACCGCGTTAGCTGCCTCACTTGTCACTTATCATATTAGAAACAATCTAAGTTGGCATAGGTTAGGTTAGGTTAGGTTAGGTTAGATAAGAGCGAATAATGGTTTAAAAATCTGATGGTTGAACCCATTAAGGAAGATGGTTGAACCCTTCAAGGACCATTATTATAAAAAATAAGAATGTCTTGCAGATATATAGCCATAAATAAATAAATAAATATAATTATATATAGGCTATTAGTGACATTTATCATTTGTCTACCTCCTTATTTGCTAAGGATACTTAACTATATTTGACTTGCTGTTTCTTGACCCAATCTTAAGAAATATTACTCTCTCTCACATACATACATACATACATACATACATACACTTCATCCTTGACCACCGAAGGGTCAAGACGTACCTGGCGCTGCTCTGACAGCAGCCACGTCAACTGTTATGTTGACCCATACCAAATCCCTCCCCTGAACCCTCCTCTCCACCGGAATATCAACAAGTTCTCGCCAGAAGTTACTATTTCATTTAGGAAAGGAATGGAACCAGTGTTGAATAGTGGTGAACAGTGGTGAACAGTGCTTAAGTCAGTAAAAAACAACTCGACAGTAACAGCTGAGTCGTACCCAAGCTAACCTTCACACATAGGGAGGCCTGGGGCCACACCTCACTCACTGGAGCGAGTGAGGTGCTGTGACACCAGACCACGTGGTGTCCCCATGATGCTATCACACCACGTAGTGAATGAGTTGCTACAGTATCATGTGAGGTCCCTCATAACACCATCTGTGAGGGAATTATTACACCACATTAGGCCCCTCATAACACCATCTGTAAGGGAGTTACTACACCACGTGAGGCCCATCATAACACCACCTGTGAGGGAATTACTACACCACATCAGGCCCCTCATAACACCATCTGTGAGGGAATTACTACACCACATCAGGCCCCTCATAACACCACCTGTGAGGGAATTACTACACCACATCAGGCCCCTCATAACACCACCTGTGAGGGAATTACTACACCACATCAGGCCCCCTCATAACACCACCTGTGAGGGAACTACTACTACGTGATGCCCCCATTACACCACCCTGTGAGGAATTACTACACCACATCAGGCCCCTCATAACACCATCTGTGAGGGAATTACTACACCACATCAGGCATCTCATAACACCACCTGTGAGGGAATTATTACACCACATCAGGCCCCTCATAACACCACCTGTGAGGGAATTACTACACCACATCAGGCCCCCTCATAACACCATCTGTGAGGGAACTACTACACCACGTGATGCCCCCCATTACACCACCTGTGAGGGAATTACTACACCATGTGAGGCCCCTCATAACACCATCTGTGAGGGAGTTACTACTCCACGTGATGCCCCTCATAACACCATCTGTGAGGGAGTTACTACACTACGTGTCTGCTGTTCAACACCTCAGCTCACAAGATCTACGTGACCTCCACTGTAAACATTAATCTGTATGTTCACTGTATGTTCCTTTACCATTCTCTAATGAAGGCTTTGTTAAACCACCAATGTCAATGTATGTAATAAGTCATTTATGTCCAATGCATATTTTCAGCCTTCGGGCTTCAGAACTTGTTCAATAAACCGTTAATTAATTATTATTATTAGTAGTAGTATTTTACATACATACATACATACATACATACATACATACATACATACATACATACATACATACATACGTACATGCATACATACATACATACATACATACATTAGCTCTGTATATAGTAAACTAAACGGTTCCTGTCTGTACATATTTATTCTTCAATATTTAATAAACGGGAATATATAAGAGCTATTTAATTACTGTACAGCCTTATATTAGCACCTGTGACCATTTAACACCTGTGACCATTTAACACCTGTGGCCATTTAACACCAGTGGCCATTTAACACCTGTGGCCATTTAACACCTGTGGCCATTTAACACCTGTGGCCATTTAACACCTGTGGCCATTTAACACCTGTGGCCATTTATCACCAGTGGCCATTTAACACCTGTGGCCATTTAACACCTGTGGCCATTTAACACCAGTGGCCATTTAACACCTGTGGCCATTTATCACCAGTGGCCATTTAACACCTGTAAACATAAGGTCATTAAAGCCAGAGAGAGTATGTAACAAAAAAAACACTAAATGTAAAGTAATGACAGACAGACAGACAGACAGACAGACAGACAGACAGACAGGCAGACAGGCAGACAGGAAAAAGCGTGCCACTAATCTTGACACACTTAGATATTAACGATTGTCAAGTACTGTCTCTCTTACTGATGACAGACAAACCCATTAGGCATATGAAAGCTTAATGAGACGGTGAGTGGTGCCAGTGACAGGTTGAAGATAAGGGAATAAAAGAGTAATAAAGAGACAGATTGACAGTCAGGTAGACAGATAAAATAGACAGACAAACGGGCTGAAAGCGACTGACTTATGTATTGTGGTTAGCAATCAACTACAGCTACACTTACAGAGACACTCACAGTCTCTCGTGTACTGTACACAGAGAGGCAGGAATAGTCACTTGTGAACGACAGATACTCTAAGGCTGCGTTCACACCAAACGAGTCGAGTTGAGTCACTGGAGTCAAAAGAGTCACGTTTGTCAGTATCCTCTGAGATGTCAAGCGGTATGGACACACCTTCTCTCTCAGCCTTACTTACTCTGTTCATAGGAGGAAGAGGAACCGAGTATGGGTTCATGAACTCACCATCAAAAGACCAGATTTTGGTATCTTTAGTCATATGTTTCCAGACATGTTAAATCACCCAGACAAATTTTACAGTTTCTTCAGAATAACAATGAATAACAATGGAAAACTTGAAGAAGCTGGTTAATATGACAGGAATATCTGTAAAGACAATGACCACAAACTTCAGGCGTGCCATTGGACTTAAAGGAAAGAATAGCCACATTTTTAAGGTAAAGTTTGTACAGTATTTGATTTGAAACATAATATTGACAGTTAAACTAATATTTGAAGGATAATATTGAACAAAATATTATGAAACATTATATTGAGAAATATAAATATTAGATCTTATTGTTAACTGAGAGATACACCACAACAGACTCACGATGACTGATGACAAAATGGATCTGTTCGTATTCATGAATTGACGGTTTTCGCAAAATTACCAACAAAATAATATCCTCTTGAATGGCGAGTCACGTAGAGCCGAGACTCGATATGACTCGACTCATTTGGTGTGTAACGCAACAGCCTTAAGGTTCTTGGATAATTTGTACTTTACTGCAAGGCTTCTGTGTTAAGTCGCCAACCTTACCATGTGTCACTGATAGCACAACCTAACCTAACCAAACCTAACCTAACCAAACCTAACCTAACCAAACCTAACCTAACCAAGCTCCACTGTTGAGATCACTTAAGGATTTGTCACCATTATTTACAAAACTAACACAAACGTCATTATCATAATACTCATCTCACCTTAATTGATAAAAATATCCAAAATTTTATTTCAGAGGTGATAAGATCTATATTTCCTCTCAGTACGAAGAAGGAGGAGGAGGAGGAGGAGGAGGAGGAGGAGAGGAGGAGGAGGAGGTAGGAGAAGAAGCAGGAGGAGGAGGAGGAGGAGGAGGAGGAGGAGGAGGAGGAGGAGGAGGAGGAGGAGGTAGGAGGTAGGAGAAGAAGCAGGAGGAGGAGGAGGAGAGGAGGAGGAGGAGGCAGGAGGTAGGAGAAGAAGCAGGAGGAGGAGGAGGAGGAGGAGGAGGAGGAGGAGGAGGAGTCTGTGATAAGAAAATGTTGTCTACGTCAGTTGATCGAGTACGCCCCGGAACATCTGACTTTATATACGTAGGTTGCTCGAGTTACATCTCAGTTACTTGTCGAATGTCCTGACTTACACTCCTGCACCATCGTTGACTCCAGTACGTGTTGTGTATGAAGCTGGAGTAGATTAAATGAGTAATGTATTTTAGTGTTTCAGTTGTATTGCGAGTGACCTTCAGTGTTCTCAGTATTGGTGGTGTTCACTGAGACAAAAACAAAACACAAACAATATCTCGGTCCTCTAACATGTCCGGAGAGTCACCACCATCATCATCACCACCCACAGAATTAATAAGAGTGGCACAAGTATGGGCTTGGTCACTGTGCTTCATCGGGGGAGTGGGTAATGCTGTCACTATGGCTACCATCACACACCAACTATATCTCGGACTAAGACGAAGGACCAGTATTGAGTCTCACTGCTCGAGGAAGAAGACTCAACCTGTCATTAAATTGGAAAGTGATACGTTACTACTCCTTCACCTTAGCCTCTGTGACTTCCTCTACTGCGCTATTAACCTACCCCTCACAGCCCTCAATTACCAATTCGCCTTCACCGCCTCAATCAACGCCACTATCATCACCCCTGACAAGGCCTACTGTACGGGCGTGGCCACCTTCCGCTACCTCAACGCCCTCATTGAGTGGATGACTTTAGGCCTCCTGACACTGCAGCGTTGCATCGACCTAGGCAGGTGTAGAAGTGCTCGCTTATTTACACCTCAATCAACGTGTAAACTGATCTGCCTGTGTTGGGTGGGCGCTATCCTGTTGCAGATGGACGCTATCATTAATGTGAGTCTCTCTCTCTCTCTCTCTCTCTCTCTCTCTCTCTCTCTCTCTCTCTCTCTCTCTCTCTCTCTTGTTTTAAGCTATCTATTTATCTATCTCTATACATCAATCTATTATGTGTATATATGCTTTATGTGTATGTATGTACAGTATGTATGTATGTATGGTTGTATGTACAGTATGTAGTTTAGATAAGGTTAGATTAACATTTGGGCGTTTAATCGTGAGGTGAAAAATATGTTGAGGTGAGTAATGTTTAGGTGTTCTGTGGTGCACCAACACAATGAGGAGGAGTTTAGAATTGTATATACGGACTGTTGGGTCACGTTGGGGGAACGAATGAGACATTAACATCATGAAACGGGGAGAGAGAGAGAGAGAGAGAGTAAAGAAAATTCTAGGGAGGTCGGCAGTGTGGGATGATCTAAGATGGACAGAGGCGTGATGGACGAGGTGTTAGCTATCTCGAAAATCCTATGAGGGAGGAGGGAAGGGAGAGGAGAAGAAGAGAGGAAGAGGAGACGCTGGGCTAGTTTAGGTTAGGTTAAAGTTTGGTTAAGTTAGGTTATGTTTGGCTAGGTTAGCATTAGAGTGTTTAATTATCAGGTTAGGTCAGTAGGATCCTTGCTCTCCACCGACTCCCTTTCACCCAGCCTATACAACACCATGGTCTGGGCTGTGTGCTTCGTTCAACTGTGTCTATACGATTCAGATGTCAACATGGTCACCATAATTGACTTTAACTTCAACAATTTATCGACAGA